TGCCGAGAGGCTCCCGCCGCGCGCTCAGGTGCGAGGGCAGGCGGTCCCCCCTCCGACCCCGGGGCCGACCGTGACTGGGCGCCCTCTCGCCAGCGGCCAGGACATCTCTAGCGCGGTAATAGAGACGCTTGTCTGCAGGGCCTCAGCTTGTAATCCCGGGCTGCCTGTTCCTTAACATCGAGGAGCCAGGCCTCTCCACAGAGAAAAACTTCCTACAGCTTTCCCTCCTGCGGGCTGTGGTCGCTCCTGGCACTGTGTGTGGGAGAGGCGTTCTCCAGCATCTGTGGGCAAGGCCTTGGAGATTAGTACTAGAGCAGACATCGGACACGTTTTGTCATGGAATTCTTTTAAGGACCACAGTCCTCTCTATTTTTGTGGCACAGCACCCCACCAGCTGTAATGGTGCAAGGGCATATGTCAATAGTTTTCTGAATGCCCTTTGTGCAGAAGTTAGGTATCCATTTTTTGGGGAGCTGGATCTTCTAGAAGACAGCACAGTGTGATGACCCCTCTCTGGTCTAAAAACACGCCTGTATGCTCTTTAAAGCTTTAGGTGAATCAGCTTTGGTGTTAATTTGGTGGTTTTGGAGAGAGGGGTAGCCCTGGATGCTATCAGGGAGAGGATCTCTGGTGTTCCTGTATGCTCCATTCTTAGGGAAAGTAAGGGAAAAATGTCCTTGCAAACATCAAGGGAGCATTGAGGGTAAACAAAATGAGGGAGAGATTGTTAGGACAAAGGATGAAACTGTTTAGTTGTTACACACCTATAGCAGATTGGCTCCTTGGTGTCTCTGATGAAGCTACTCTGGATTTCTTACCTGAGCACTAAAAGATATTTCACAACCTATATGAATGAATTTAGGTGACTTACACTGGTCCAAGTGAAAAGAGCACCTAGAGCAATACAGGATAAGCACTGAATGGTGTTAGCACCTCTGGATAAAGGCTGGCAGCCTCTCTGATTGATACAAGCAGAAGCATCATTCTCTGAATTCTGGTCACAGCTGCAATCTGAGCTGGAAGGCTGGGTAACTGCAACAGTTACAGTCATACAACACTTCTGTCAGCAAAAGCCCATGTTACCATAAATGTATACAAGATTTCAGTCACTTTGCACTTAAAAGTCAAAGCATGTTAATAACTGAGTGTGGTGGGGGGCTGAACATGATCAGGCAGCTGTGTGTCTGAACTGAAATCATGACATGAGTCAGTGGCTGGGCTGGCAGCACACCACCAGAGCAACATCTTGCATTTCCTCTGGATCCTTCTCTTTAAATGAGGCTAAACTAATTTCAAACTTTCCAGAAGTATAGGAGTTATTTTTCTTCCGTAGATGCTTACTAAGGATAGCATTTACTTCTCTGACTGTGAAAATGGAGTTTTATTTGGTTTAATTAGCGAAAACAAGCAAAGGACTTTCTTAATTACAAAGTAAACTTCCAGCTAGAGCTGTTACATTTCAATTGAATTTTTATGAAAGTTCAAGTTTCTGTGGCCTGCTTGAGCCTGTATCTTTGACGGAGGGGTAAATTAACCCAATCATCTGTATGCTAACCAACTCCTGGTACATTTTTACATTTGTTCTTGCCTCTGTTTAACCTATTTAACTTCTTTAAGATGCAAAGTCAGTACCTTGTGTCTTATGGGTCAAGGTTGGACACAAATTTTAGACGAAATTTCAACAGACCAAAAAAAGGGAGAGGAGGGAAGATCTTGGTCCAGGTTTACTACAAGATGGGAGACATTAGGTTCTAGCAGGACTAGATTTTAACTCTAGAGCTACTGATGGAACTGGTATCAGGACCAGGCCTCCTGGACACCCAAGGACTTGGAGAGCTGTTTGTATTAAAAACAGTTAATGAGGACAATGTGATTGATACAGTGTCTGCCTCTCACATTACGGAGTTGCAGCCAGATACTTTTCACCCCTTCCAGCAGCCTTAGCTGACATGCTAATAGTCCACAGTCCGATCCAGTTCCCAAGGTGGTGAAAATCAGCTTTTGGTGACACACAGAAAATTGTGTTCTCTAACAGTACTTCTCTGGAGATCAGATTGAGTCCTGCCAGCTAGATAGAGCAGGTGAAGGTTGAAATTCAAGCATGATTGAATGCTTTTTGCATTTTGGACAGATAACTTGTGTATCAGAAAAAATATTCACACAAAGATGTGGGACAAAGCTGCCTTAGGTATGTTGCCCAAGAGCCAGTGACTGCCCTGGCTCTGTGCAGAATTCTGAAGGCAACGTGAGCCACCACTGGTACTTCTTGGGGAAGAGCTCAGTTCCAACACATGAAATGCAACCATAGATACAGCATGCCCACAATTTTGCATGCTCAGAGAAGATGGAAAACAGGAGCTTGCTCTACTTTACTTACATCAGTCATATACTGATGGTGGCAGATCCTTACCACCATAGCCCAAGTGCACACCCATTTTCCACTGGTGTCAAAGTAGATAACTTGGGAGGGGGGTGGTGGTTTAAAATGAGGAGGAAGAGGGAGTGGGAGACAACATCCTCTAGATCTGGCCAGAACATGAGAGAAATATAACCTTGGCAGTGTGTCAATAAGCAATTGTTTGCCCCAGGAATCGCTAAATGAAATGAATGAGGTTGCCAATCACGGTGAAGCTAGCTTGAGGTGGTCTGAGTGAAATAGATTGAATAGAAATGTGTGCTCCACAGCATGAGAGAATATGCAAAAGCGTTTCAGCCAAAAATCAAGACAAGAGGGAAGGAGACCAAATGGCAAAGTGACAGACTGCTGCTGTGGGAGAGCTGTTCTCAATAGGCTTTAGTTTAATGTAGACACTGAACTGCTTTCCTGGCCAGGAGTCCTCCTGTGTTTAACATTAGGCTATGGAAATGAAGCTGAACAAAGGAACACTTTGATCGTATGTTTTTACATAATGCTATGTAATAAATGGCATTTCATTCCTTAGTGCAGCTGCAGCTCAGTGTTAAACTAATGCAAAGACAATATAGGTCCTAAATCACATATATACATAAAATTACCCACAGTCTGAAGGGCATAGAAAAAACAAAACCCAGAAGGCAGTAGGAAATGAATATCAATGATTAAAATGGTAGTGGAATAGATGCAAATATTCTTTATAGGGAAATCCATCGAAGGATATGATTGCCACAATGAATTCAAGTCAAGCTCTAATGTTTTAAAGTACTTTGCCCACTCTTTAGAGTTAGTTCAGCTCCAAGGTAATCACACCCTACTCCGAATGACTTCCACATACCGATTCATGTGAGGTCTTAAATAGGAAACCTCTAGCATAAGTCAGCCAGCCCAGAGAAC